GGCCGCTCTGGCATGTTGATTATTTCAACTCAAGTCAACAGAGAAACAGCAAACACATAAGGAGTTCTCTGCCTTCCTTCTTTCTGCCTAAAATTAGGGCATAAATTTCCCTTCCAGAAAGGACATTTGCATTTATAAAGGTGCCTCCTGCCCCATTCCAGAAAGAAAACACTCACCACCAGAGATGCCACCAAGATGAATCTGAACAAAAAACTCTTATTGTAAGTTTCCCCGCTAAATTCCCAAGTCACCTCACAATTTACCCCCAGAAGCTCAAACCTCCTCTTCCTTTGTCCAGTCACTTCTTTTACAATTTGTTGCCCTTTGTTAAAATAGTACAGAAGCTCCTGAGTGTAACCACTTCTTCGGGTTTTCACTTCTTTGCCGTAAAGACCCTGGGCATGTAAAATTAAAAATGGAAGATGAGAATGTGTATACCATTTTTTCCTCCATAATCTGTTTTTTTTTTTTTTTTGGTGGGGGTTTGGCTTAATTTGTAGGTCCCGTTCAAAGAGCATAAGAGGGTAAAGTTTTTTTTTTCCTCTCCCCTACAAGGCCCATGATGCATCGTCGTGAATGTGAGGAGTAACCCTTGCAGTGGTGAGCCGCAGGCATCTGGGGCTGTTTGTCACTGCAGCAACACCCTGCCAGATACAGGCTCTGTGCTGCCTACAGAGACAAACAATCATGTTAGTGAGAAGTCTGGAAACCAGCTCCTGTTAGAAACCGGGGCAGCTGTGCAGATATTAGGGCTGAAGAATGGACAACCTGGTGGCCAGTGAGTGAGGGTTGGGGAAAGGTAGGGGGCTGATAAAATGGAAACCTTCGGCTATTTGAAAAATGGGAAAAAATTAGCCGGGCATGGTGGCGCATGCCTGTAGTCCCAGCTACTCGGGAGGCTGAGGCAGGAGGATCGCTTGAGCCCAGGAGTTGAGGTTGCTGTGAGCTAGGCTGACGCCACGGCACTCTAGCCCGGGCAACGGAGTGAGACTCTGTCTCAAATAAAATAAAAATAGAACTCTGGGCAGCAGCACCCTATAAGCCAGCCTCCTATAAGGCGGACTTGTAGGAAGTCAGATCTCGCTCTCTAGCAAAAATCCAGGAGGCCAAAAATTAACTCCTGCAACCATCGGTCCCGAATGGCCATGACTCGATTAATAACCGGCTGCTTTGGGAATTTTAGCCCCTGCTGCTGACTTAGGATCAACCAAAGGAAGGCAAATGCACTCCTCTAACCCACCCTCAGATGCCCCACTTCCAGCGAGCCGCCTCCGCCTCCCAAAGCCAACAGTCTCCATCGGGGCTCACCTGGAACCTTCCTTCTTAGCACTAAAAGGCTTTCCCACTCTGTCTGCCTCCGAGTCTCTGTCAAAAGCAAGTGGTGGCATCCGATTCCCTTGTTACCCACACGCTCTGAGTAAGCAGCCTTTGCGGGTCCTCACTGGCCGGTCTCCGGCTACTGCCGCACTGGAAAGGGATGGGCTAGTTCTCCGCAAGAAGCTGCCTCGGGGTCCGTTTGCTCTTAGGCATAACACGACAACCTTTATTCACTACGCATCCTTCTCTTGTGCTCAAAACTTGTCACGGCCACCCCCAGAGCCCCCAAGCTCCTAGTCCTTTCTGGTAGCTCAGGCCACTCTGGCCTTTCAGTCCCATGTTTCCTGGGACTCCCGTGCAAATGGTTTTTCTCCTGTTCATCTGCCTTATGTCAGTGTAACTTGTCGCCCAGACAAACAACCTAGAAGCATTGAGGAAAGCCATTCTTCCCCCACCCCAACCCCCGTCAGCATTACTAAAAAAGACAAAGATGAACAAAAAAATGTAAGAAAAATAAAAGAGAAACTATACTAAGTGTTAAAAGACCTCATCACCTTGTTAGGATCCTGATTCAAACAAACCAACATTTTTATTTTATTATTTTATTTTATTTTTTTGAGACAGGGTCTCGCTCTATCACCCAGGCTGGCGTGCAGTGGTGCAGTAATAGCTCACTGCAGCCTTGAACTCCTGGGCTCAAGAGATCCTCCAGCCTCAGCCTCCTGAGTAGCTGGGACTACAGGTGCAGCCACCACACCGGGCCGATTTTTCTATGTCTTGTAGAGACGCAGCTACCTTGCCCAGGCTGGTCTAGAACTCCTGGCCTCCAGCCTCCCAAAGCGCTGGGACTACAGAGGTGAGCCATGCACCGGCCAAGACCAACTTCTTAAACGAATACTTTTGAGGTAATAGGTGAAATCTGAATACGGACCAACGGTCTCATAAAGGAGAACTGTTGTTAGTGCTGTTGGTCGGCAAAGCCTCGTCGCTTTGTAAACACTTTTGAGAGACGCTGATAAAACTTGCAGGGGTGAAAGGATTGCTGTCTGGAGTTTGCTTTTTTTAAAAAAAAACCTTCAGCCAAGGCAAAACAACAGGGCAAAGGAATCAAATGCAGCAAAATGCTGATTTGGACGGTTTATAGATGGGGGTTCATCGCACCGTTGTCTTGGATCTGTTTGTTAGGAAATTTTTTTAAAGTTTTTTTTTTTGTTTTCCTAATCATTCTATTTTCTAAATCGAAGAAAATCCTCAGCCCAGAATTCCCTCGCTGATGTAAGCGACAGGGAGCGGCTTGGGGAGGTGGGGGATAAGCCGGAATTAGCAACGGGTGTCCACACGTCGCCCGTGCGAGCCCCCAGCCCGCGCTCTGGGTGCGCAGACCCCGTCCTGTGCGTGCCAGCGAGGAGAGACCACGGTAGAAACAACACTCCGCCGGGCGAGCCCAGGCAGAGCCAGCCGTCTACACCCGCACGCTCTCGAAATGGCTAAACCGTGCTGCTTGGCCTTCCCTACCCGCTGCTACCAGCTCCCCGCATGCCCCGAGCCTCAGTTTCCCCATCTGTCCTCCCCCTGCCCCCAGCAGTCAGGCACACTGACCGAAACTACCCAGGGCACTGGCAAGGAGCCCCTCCTCCGCCCCAGGGTACGGACCTGCCCCACGCCCCTCCGAACCCCGTCTGCCCCAGGATGGGCCGCCCCCTCCCGGAGACGCCCGGCTGGACGCTGACTACGCGCAGGCGACGGGGCAGGGGCTCGTAGTGTCCCGCGGCCCCTGCATCTCCTCCCAACCCGGCGCCCGCCCCACCTCCGCGGTGGCCCCCCGACTCCGGCCGCCCTCGCCCGCCTGCCCCCACCCCTCTCCGCACCGCAGCAACCGCCCCCACCGCGGGCGCCTGCGCCCCCACTCCTCCCACCCCCCCCCACCCCAGCCCCCCCCCCCCCCCCGGGCGCCCCCGCCCCCTACCCTCCCCCTCGCCCCCCCCCCCCCGAAAACCGCCTCCCCACCTGCAAACTCCTCTCCATCCCCCCAGCCGGGGCCGACTTAGCCCCCGCCCCTCCAGGGCTCCGCTGCCCCCGGGCAGCCCCGACCCGGCGTAGACAGGCTCCGGCCCCAGCGCCCCATGACGCCCGCCTCCCCTGCCCCGAAGGCCCCACCCCAGCCAGCGAAGCCCCTCCCTCTACTCCCTCCTCGCTGGGCGGCCGACCACGCCCCCAGCAAACTCCCCCCGCGCCCGCCACCCGCTGCCTCCCCACCCCCCCAGCCGCGCCACTGAGGCACCGCCGCGGGCTGCACGTCTCCTCCCCCCACTCTCGCCTCCCCAGCTGACGCCACAAAGCCCGCGGCCGCCGCCCCCGCGCCCCGCGGCGCAGACCCAGCCCGTGCCGGCCTCCCCCGCCGAAGCCCGGCGGCCCTGGACGAGGCAGCGTTGGAGCCGCGGGCCGACTGACCACGGGTCCCCCGGACGAGCCCCGCACCCACAGAGGGACACTCGGGCCGGAGCTGCCCAGAGCCCGGAGGACGCCGGCCCTGCCCTGGCTCTGTCCCGGCGGGCAGTGGTGCGCCCCGCGGGTCCCCCGGGCCGGGGCCAGGGCTGGCGCCGAGTGCGCGCTGCTCTGAGGTTAGCGCGGGGCAGAGTCCGGAACGTCTAGGAAATCCCCAGACGCCGGCGCTTTAGGGGATTGCAGAACGGGAGAGAGCGAGGGTCGGGCTCGGAGTTTAGACACATTTTCAGATCCCTCCTCTAACTCGAGGGTCCCCTGAGCAGCCCTGGGAAGCAGGCGGGCGAAGGCGGTGCACGTCCAGTGCGTGGAGTCACGCGTGTTCAGACTCAAAGGGCGTCTGTGCGTGCATGCGTGTGTGTGCCTGTGCGCGCACGAGCGTACCTCTGTGCACGTGCACGCGTGTTCGCGTGTGTGCATCTGTGCGTAGTGTCTGCATGGGCCTGCACCTGTCACTGCGCATGCGTGTTTGTGCATGCATGCGCGCGACTGCCTACATGCGTGCATGGGTTTGTGTGTGCACATGTGCATTTGTGCGTACATGCGTGCGTACTGTGCACGTGTGTGCGGTGCGTGCACGGACGTTTGTCTTTTTGGCACTGCACCTCCCTCCCTAATGGAAGAGAGCATTTTTCCTCTGACAATCCCTTTTTCCTTTGGTGTATGGAGATTTTGTTAAGTAATTATTCAGGCACTAGTTAGAAGGCTCTTCATTCAAGCTTCCTGCCCTGGGGGTGTTGCCCTAGGGGAGAATCTCTGATCCCAGCCCGCCAGCAGGTAGAGAGGGTCGGAGACTCCAAGGGCAGGGGGCTTCTCCTGAACTGACCTGGCAGGCTTTTCCCGAAAGGCGGGCAAGGACTTAGACCGCAAAGGTGGCCTGCGGGTGAGGACTCGAGTGGATGTCCAGTGGGGTGACTGGGATGCTCTGCAAAGACCCAGCTGGGAAGCCAGAGACAGGACAGGGTGGGCTCCAGACTCACCGGAGAGCAGTGGCCAGGGAGGGTCTTTGCAGTTTCCAGCGAGGCTTTTGTGTCTCCTCGATGACAGCTACGACCCCGTCACTGGAGCCCTGTCCCTATCTGGAAAGGGAAGCCTTAGAGGGGGTGTGCACACTACGGGGTCACGGCTCACGCGGAGTCCCTCGCCGAGGACAGCCTGGCCTGGTTGTCTCCCCAGCAGCCATGGACGCCGTGGAACTTGCCAGGAAGCTGAAGGAGGAGGCCACGTGCTCCATCTGCCTGGACTACTTCACCGACCCCGTGATGACCTCCTGCGGACACAACTTCTGCCGCCAGTGCATCCAGATGAGCTGGGAGAAGGCCAAGGGCAAGAAGGGGCGGCGGAGGAAGGGCAGCTTCTCCTGCCCCGAGTGCAGGGAGGCGTCCCCCCACAGGAACCTGCGGCCCAACCGGCTGCTGACCAAGGTGGCCGAGATGGCGCGGCAGCACCCCGGCCTGCAGAGGCGGGACCTGTGCCCGCTGCACCAGGAGCCCCTCAAGCTCTTCTGTGAGGAGGACCAGAGCCCCATCTGTGTGGTCTGCAGGGAGGCCAGGGAGCACCGCCTGCACCGGGCACTGCCCCTGGACGAGGCCGCGCAGGAGTACAAGGTGGGCCACGTCGGGGCGGGCGGGGGCGTCCAGGAGGACAACGTGAGCCTGGACTTTATGGCTTAGGGTAGGCAATATTACCCCTCCCTTCTTAGGGTGTTTTGGCTGGCCTTGGGAATCACACTGATTTAAGACAAATGAACAGGAAAAGGGCACCTGAACTTAACATAAGTTTTAAGTGAGCTAAAGAGCTAAAGGAGCATGTCAGAGTCGTGCACTTGTATAGCAAGTCACTAATTGTGTGGGGAGCGGGGAGATGCACAGATTTCTCCAGGTTTGACTTCCTGCCTTTGGTGATGAAAACATTACTTTTCTCCCGGTCTTGGGAGGGCGTCGTCTTCCACATGTTGGGGTTTTCTCCTCCTCCTGCTTTTAGGCAGAAAAAGGCGAAAGTTGGAGCAATTCTTGCACTTGTTCTTTTCTTTAATTGCTTTTAGCTCAAAATGATCTGGAGTGGTGTGTTTTGGTCCCCCGCCCCTCCTTAGGAAGGTCTGTGTGTGGACGCAGCTTCAGCGAGCACAGTCCAGACTCTGGGTGGGAAGTGGGGGCACGGCTGACCCCACAGCCGGATGTTTTTGCATCCCACAGTTGAAGTTGGAGAAGGACATGGAACACCTTCGGGAGGAGATGTTCAAGACAGGCAAGCTGCAGGCCAAGGAGGAGCAGGCCTTAGATGAGTGGCAGGTGGGTGCCGGGGGCTGTTGGGGTCCAGGAGTTTCAGACCAGCCTGGGCAACATAGCAAGACCCTGTCTCTACAAGAAATAGGAAAATTAACCAGGTGTGGTGCCTCGCACCTGTAGTCCCAGCTACTCCCGAGGCTGAGGCGGGAGGATCGCTTGAGCCCAGGAGTTGGAGGTTGCTGTGAGCTGTGATGACAGCACAGCACTCCAGCCTGGGCGATAGAGCGAGACCCTGTCTCAAGAAAGAAAATAGAGAGGAAAAGAAAATGGAAGGAAGGAATGAAAAAGACAAAAAGAAAGAAAGAAAAAGGGGCTCAGCTGAGCTGAGCAGACGTGGGCTTTATAGGCATGACAGGGCTGAAGAAGGCGGAAACAGACCAAAAAGTGGATTGTGTTTCTGAGCGACTTTCCTTGCAGGGTTAAAACAGAGGGGACTTTCTTATTGTACCTGCTCAGATAAACCGAAGCCCTCTGATTGGTTGCTGGGAACCTCGTGGTTTTTTTTTGGGTTTGTTTGCTTGCGAAGGATGTTCAGATGTATGGAAGTTGCCTTTGTGGCTGAGAGGGTTGTTACACCGCGGTGACAGGATGTTGCAGCCCTCAGCCCTCAACTAAAGCTCCCAGCCCTGGCTGGAGCTGCTGGTCTTCTCTGGGTCACCAGGCACCTGGGGGAGACATGCGGGTGTCTCTGGCACTGAGCCACCCACCGGCTCACAACATCGGGGTGCCCCCCCCAGAACAAGGTGAGGAGGCGGAGAGAGCGCATCGTGCTGGAGTTCGAGAAGGTGGGCCTCTGCCTGCTGGAGGAAGAGCGCAGGCTGCTCCAGGCCCTGAAGGAGGAGGAGGAGGAGACGGCCAGCAGGCTTCGGGAGAGCAGGGCCTTGCTGGCCCAGCAGAGCCACTCCCTGGAGAGGCTGCTGCTGCAGCTGGAGGACCTGAGCCAGCGCGAGCCCCTCCAGATGCTGCAGGTGTGCCAGGCGGGCTCGGGGGCGCCAGCAGCCCCGGGGGGAGTGCAGGGCCTTTGGGGTCGGGCAGCGGCTGCTCACCTCCGTACACCTGTTTAAGTTGCCTGTACACACAGGAGGACATGAGCGCGGGGACCAAATGCAGCCCCACCGGGAAGGGCCACCGAAACAAAGTCCCACAGACATGGGTAACCACTATATGGGATGCCCGCAGTTCTGCCTGACACCCTGTGGGTTGTCCTGGATAGATTTGCCAGTTGCCCTAACTTTGGGTAATGGTTTGTCTTCATTATAAAGCAGCTTGGACCAGACACGGTGGCTCCCACCTATAATCCCAGCACTTTGGGAGGCCGAGGTGGGAATATTGCTTGAGGCCAAGGGTTTGAGACCAACCTGGGCATCATAGCAAGACCCTGTCTCTACAAAAATGTTTTTAAAAGTAGCCAGGTGTGGTGGCATGTGCCTGAAGCCCCAGCTACTTGGGAGGCTGAGGTGGGAGGATCACTTGAGCCCAGGACCTCAGGGCTGCAGTGAGCTATGGTGACACCACTGCTCTCTAGCCTGGGTGACACAGTGAGACCCTGTCTCTTAAACAAAAAACACCTTATTCACAACACACTGAGTTGGCCTAAGCCCCAAGCGGCTGGTGGGTAGTTACTCTTGTGAGTAGGGCCTAAGCGTGTCACCGTGTGAGAGTCCCGTGCCAAGACTTAGGGTCGTGCTGCAGAAACCAGAGAAACGGCCACTGGAAACCAGAAATCCCTGGTAACTTCCCAGGCCAGAGCTGTTCACGTGGCATCCGGGAACTCTGCAGGCTCCTAAGGAGGCCCCAGAAAATGCCCAGGCAGCTGGGTCTGTCCCCCTGTCCCCGCACTGCACCCAAGTGCAACTGCAGCCCCGCCCCCTTCTCCACATCCTGAGTGGGCCCCGCGCCCCGCTGAGCTGGGAGGCGAAAGCTGGGGTCGACTGTCCACTCGCCTTGAAGGGCGGAAGTGCCTCAGCCCCCGACCGCTCCTCCCCGTCCGCGCTGACCAGCTGGGCGCGGGCGTCTGCCCTGGGCCGAGAGGAGGGTCTTGGTGGGCGTGGCAGAGAAGGTCGGGAGCGCCCCGGCGAGGATGGTGCCCGATTGCGGGGATGAGGACGAGGCAGCATTGGCAACCTTGAGGGGCGGGCCAGGGTGGCGCGGAGTCGGGGGAGCCTAGAGCTTGGCCCCTTCCCTGCCCACCCACCTTCCCTCCCTCTCTCTTTTGCAGGATATCAAGGACCCGCTGGGCAGGTGTGTGGTCACCCAAGGTGGAGGCGGGTGAGGGAGGGCCTGTGTCGGCCAGAGGGACAGTGGGATTGTGTCCACTGGGTGAGGAGCAGCTTCAGCACGCAGTACCCAGAGGTGGTCCCCCCGGCTGCGCTCAGGACCGTGTGCAGGGTGCCCGGACAGATAGGCGTGCTCAAAAGTTTCCAAGGTAAGTGGGGGCCCAGGGCCGGGAACCCTGACCCTGGATTCTCTCGGTAAAGCCCCACCCACCCCTGGACACACAGGGTTGGGGGAAGAGCCACCAACGTGGGGCCTCAGAGGGCACTGCCTGATCCTGGCCATGCACTCCGGTGGCTCCATTCACTGCATGAAGCTGGCTGAGCCCACATGGCCCCGTGGTCCCGGCCATTTCCTTATCAACACCAGTGTCCACACAGTTGGGGTGCAGGACCGTAAGGAAACCCCAGACACATGGCTGCACTCAGTGGAGGGGGAGTTTGGGGACCATTTGGCCACGAGCCACCCTCTGCCCCACCCCGCCCCACCGCTAGGGCTCTGTCCCTGTCACGGGGGCCCTGAACGGCACCCCGTGTCTCCCCACCGCCCGGCGCCATCTGCAGAGGATGTGGTGCTGGACCCCACCTCGGCGTACCCCTACCTCCTCCTGTATGAGAGCCGCCAGAGGCGCTACCTCAGCTCCCCGCCCGAAGGCGCCGAGTTCTGCAACGAGGACAGATTTGTGGCCTACCCCTGTGTCGTGGGCCAGAAGACCTTCTCCTCGGGGAGGCACTACTGGGAGGTGGGCATGAACCTCACCGGGGACGCACTGTGGGCCCTGGGCGTGTGCAGGGACAATGTGAGCCGGAAAGACAGGGTCCCCAAGTGCCCTGAGAATGGGTTCTGGGTGGTGCAGCTGTCCAAGGGAACGAAGTACTTGTGCACTACGATGGCCGCCCCCACTCCGGTGACACTGACAGAGCCGCCCAGCCACATGGGCATCTTCCTGGACTTCGAGGCCGGGGAGGTCTCCTTCTACAGTGTGAATGACGGGTCCCACCTGCACACCTACTCCCAGGCCGCCTTCCCGGGCCCCCTGCAGCCCTTCTTCTGCCTGGGGGCTCCCAAATCTGGCCAGATGGTCATCTCCACGGTGACCGTGTGGGTGAAGGGGTAGATACGGGGGCGGAGACGCTGGCATTGCGGAAGGCGAGGCCCTTCTCACTGCTGGCCACCTGCTGGGCTTGAGAGCCACTGGCTGTGCGGGCCGGTTTCTCAAGGTCCAAGTATGGTCCTGATTACAGCCCTCAGACACGGAGAGGCTGTACTCACAGCAACTGTCCAAATCCCAAATACAGACCTGCATACCAGGCACGGTGTGGTCCAGTCTTCTTCAGCTACGCCTCCGTCCCCTCCCACACTTTGGAATGTCACTAACTCTGTGGTGACCAGCTTCCCAAGAGGTTGGGTCTTTTTTTCTATATTTAAAAAATTTTTTGTAGAGACAAGTTCTCACTTTGTTGCTCAGGCTGGTCCCAAACTCCTGGCCTCAAGCCATCCTCCTGCCTCGGCCTCCCAAAGTGCTGGGATTACAGGGGTGAGCACTGCGCTTGGGGAGGTTCAGGTTACTGTGGAAAGGACGGTCCCAGGTGTCCTACAGAAATTCTAGCATCCTCTCCGCTGGCTACTGGTTCCTTCGCAGGGGAAATGGGAAGGGCTGAGCCCCAGAGCTGCCCACCCCGCCCCCTTCGACCCCTAAAGCCCCACACACGCAGCGGCAAAATCCAAAAGAGGTGAGGATCATTTGGGGCCTCCGTTCACCTTCCTACCGCGCCCTTCCGTGCTCTAGCGAAGCCGCCACCCTCCCCTGCAGGGTCAGGCACATTGACGGCCCCATCATAGTCCCTGGCGCCCCAGAATTCGTACCCCGAGAAGACCAGGGTCTCTGGAGCAAATGCGCCTGCAGGCTGAGAGTCTGGGCCTCACGGAGAGCGGGTCCTGGCGGGGAGCCCCCGTCCCGTGCCCCGCACTCCAATCGCTGTGAGCCCCGCCTGCCTGGGAGCGTGTGCGGGGGCCCAGGCCGTGCGAGGACACCCGCCCTGGGGCGCGCGGGCAGAGGGGTGAGGACGTCCCGGGGGGTGGTGAGGGGCGCCGCCGCCCCAGGTTGCGGGTTCCCCGAGTCCTCGCAGTCGCTGCAGCGCGCCCACCCTCTCCTGAGTCCCTCCCCGCGCCTCCCCCTACTCCGGCCCGGCAGAGGCCCGGCCGCGCCGCCCGGAGCCATCGGCGCGCAGACGGCGGCGGGACGCCGGGTCGCCGGGTGAATACTCTCCAGTTCTGTCGCGTCCTCGGGCCGCGTGACAGGTCGCAGCCAATCGGAGGCAAAAGCGGGTTGATCCAAAAAAAAAAAAGTCACTTCCTGCTTCCGCCTGGGCGCCTCTTCCTGCCGGCGTTCCGGAGCCCCGCACCCCCGCGCCCCGCGCGCTCCCCGCAGCCTCGGTGGCGGCCCTCGGACCCGCAGCCAGCTCCGCCTCCCCGCGCCATGGCCGCCCCCGACCTGTCCACCAACCTCCAGGAGGAGGCCACCTGCGCCATCTGCCTCGACTACTTCACCGACCCGGTGATGACCGACTGCGGCCACAACTTCTGCCGCGAGTGCATCCGGCGCTGCTGGGGCCAGCCCGAGGGCCCGTACGCCTGCCCCGAGTGCCGCGAGCTGTCCCCGCAGAGGAACCTGCGGCCCAACCGCCCGCTCGCCAAGATGGCCGAGATGGCGCGGCGCCTGCACCCGCCGTCGCCCGTCCCGCAGGGCGTGTGCGCCGCGCACCGCGAGCCGCTGGCCGCCTTCTGCGGCGACGAGCTGCGCCTGCTGTGCGCCGCCTGCGAGCGCTCGGGGGAGCACTGGGGGCACCGCGTGCGCCCGCTGCAGGACGCGGCCGACGACCTCAAGGTGCGCCCGGGCGCGGCGGAAGGGGGTCCGGGTAGGGCCAGTCTCGGGCCGGGAGGGGAGCTCGGGGTGCAGCCTGTCCCGGGCCTGCGGGGGAGAGGCGCGCAGGGTTGCTGGGGGCTCAGGACACAGCCTGTCCCTTGTCGAGTCCGGGTCCGGGGGCTGTGAGGGGGTTGCCTACCACAGGTGAAGGCGAAGAGGTGGGGGTGCAAGGCCGTCTGGGGTGGGGACCGGGCAGGTGTGGCCGTCCAGTGGCCAGGAAGGAGCCAGGATCATCACAGGACCGTGGGACAGGACCTCAGAGGTGGCTGGCCCTAGAGGGGCTCCTGGTGGGGACTCTGTCAGAGCCAGGGAGGGATGTGGGCAGGACCAGACCTGCAGGGAAGCCAGTACTTAAGTCCTGGGCTGGTCCCAGGCTGGGAGGGACAGAGTCATTGCCTCCCTGACCCACCTCCAGGGCTGCGCAGATTTCTGGGTGGGGTATTGGGGGCTACTTCTGCCGTCTGACACAGCAGGGTTTAACGCATCTTCAGTCCCCTTGTCTTCCTGCTTAAAGTCCCCAAGAACCCCATGCTGAGGAACCTCAGGGCGCCTGACCCACCTTCTTGCCGTCCACTTTCCTCGCTGACCTGCTGCAGGTCTGCCCTTGAGTAGACGGCAGCATCTTCCCGGCTTTTTCCACGGCTGTTTGTGTGTTGCAGCGTGGTCAGTTGTGTGTGTCAGCGAAGAAGTGTATCGGATCACAGTTTAGCTGATGATCAGTACTCGGTACTTAGAATCAGTACTCAGTCTGTCCCTATCGTACTACAGACTCTGGGACACCAGCATACGTTGGAACACGCCCTCGCTTTTGCATTTTAGTAGGAAGGAGGTTTAGAGCCACATCAGTGGGCTAGTCCAGACACAGATGCCTGCGGTTTTTCTTCTCACTTTGTCCGTGCAAGAACATCCACACCTCAGGCACATCAGCCCAGCAGGTGTATACGCCTGACACCAATCACCCCATTGATGCAGAAAGTGCCCAGTAGCTCTCCAGAGCCAACCTGATAAAGTCTCATGGGCTAGCACTTAATCCTTTCTATTGCAAAGGAAGGAAAAAGACTTTCTCTACCCTGTTAGGTTCAGCTGCTGGGGGCTGCAAATTAAACTGACAAAAGACAGATTAACGGGGGGAAGAAAGCATACAATTTTATTAATATTTTTAATTTAACATGAACCAGAGCTTCACAGGAAAGAAGAGAAAAAACTCAAACAAAGCCCTCAGACTCTGCGGCTCATATACGTGCCATTTTAACAAAGGTCCGTAAATTGTGGAGAAGTGACTATTCGTAGGAAAGGGAGTTTGGGCTACGAAGGCCAATAAACTGTGGGAACGTAACCAGGAAATGTATGAGGGGAACTAAGAGGAGTTAAGGGTTATTTTAGTAAGGTCTGTTCAGGTAGATTCATCTCTCTTGATTAGAGTACTCTTCCCCCTCCGGGTAGAGGACGGGCACCTTTTTAGTGGGGCATTAATGCCCTGCTTTTAGGCAGATAACGGGAGGACGACACTCTTCTGTTTTGCTCAGAATTACCCCAATGCTAAAATGGCATGTGCCGGGGTGGCATACCCTGCCCACCTTCACTGCGTTAGGGCCTGCTTAAGGTTAACGTTGGGGATGCCCCAGCAAACTGCTGTACCCGCCCCCAGGGAGTCTGGAAAGCTCAGTTCTGACCAGTCAGGGATGAACCAGACCCAGGCTGGGTTACCCCCAGGTGGTGAACAGGGAAGTCCCAGGGAGGCCCAGTAAAAGGAAAAGAGAAGACAGCCCTCAGTTCCCCCTAGGTCATGTGTCAGGTGGCACCAGGGACAGGGAGCAGCCGTGGGGGGCAGGGGTTGCCGGAGGAGGGGAAGGGAGAGTGTAGGGAAGGACCGGGCCTGCTCCGGGGCCCTCGGCGCCCGACTGCACCTAGGGTAGGAAGCCGTCCGTCGTGCCCCTGCAGGTACAGCGCATGGAACGGAAACTCAAGCTGTGCTTTGTGGCCCAGCGTGGCCTGTGAAGTGCTGTTTGTCAGCTTCAGTGTTGAAAATCGGAAACGTAGCAGGGAGAACACGGCACTGGGGGGAAAGTTGAGAGGTTCTGGGCCAAGGGTGTTTCGGGTGGGGTTACAGGGGCCAGGCTTGAGTTTTCCAGAGGAGGCCTGGGGACAGGGACCCTGGTCTGGGGCTCTTGCTGTAGCCCACAAGAGAGCTGAGCCCGGGCAGGGGCATGGAGGGAGCTAGACACAGCCTCCGTGCCCGGCTGTGCCAGCCAATCTGCCTCCGTCTCAAGGCCAGGTGCTGAGCCCCGTGGACACCCTGGAGCCGGCAGCTGGGTTGACGGACTGGCCCTGCCCCCTGGGCGGACTGGGAGCTCCCAGCGCCTCGGTTCGTCTAGAACGTGGATGGTTCATCTGGTAGCCGAGCCTGCGGGTGGCCGGAGAAGCTGCGAGGTGTGGCCAGCAGGCCGTGGGTCTGATGCGCGTGTCGTGTCGGGTCGACCCTCGTAGGAGAAGAATGCAGGCACACGCTAGGGCGTCAGCTGGTCGGCAGGGTCCTCGCCACTTTCCTGGTACCCACGACGCGAGAAACAGTCGCGGTGCGAATTCGGGACTGAGAAGGCAGAGTGCGACTGTGCCCATCTCAGGGCTCAGTGCCGTGGAGTTGAAACTGGAAACACGCGGGACGCGCGGGGCGGAGGAGAGACAGGTGAAGGAAGGTGTCTTTGCCGTGACAAAGGACCGCAGCCCGGGCTTCTCGCAGACCGCAGAAGCTCGCCGCTCACAGCTCCGGGGGCTGGAAGTCCAGGGTCGCGGCGCGGCAGAGTCCGTCACGTCCTGGCTCGGAGGCGGTGCCTTCTTGCTGTGCCCTCACGTGGCAGAAGGGGCAAGGGTCTCTCTGGGGTCCCTTTTGTGAGGCTGGTTATCTTGTTTGTGGCTGTTCCACCCTCATGACCCAGTCACCTCCCAAAGGGCCCACCTCCTCACACTGTCACCTGGGGGGTTGGGATTTCAGCCTGTGGGGTTCGGGGACACAGACATCCGGGTCATAGCGCTGGGCTCGGGCCAGGAGACAGGAGAGCTCCTTCAGCC